GAGAGAGAGAGAGAGAGAGAGAGAGAGAGAGAGAGAGAGAGAGAGAGAGCTCTTCTTCTTCTTCCTCCAGTCCACCATCTCTTCCTTACCCTATAGCTTTCTGGCTTCTCAGTATCGACAGACTACGAGAGAGAGAGAGAGAAAGAGATTTGTGACTTTGGGGATTGACGACATTTGGATTCCGACTCGACATTGGGACAGAGACATTGGGTGGGGACCATTTGGTACTGATTTCGACCGCATTGTGTTGACGACATCCTCATCTCCTCCCTCCTCTTCGTCTGATCCCCCTCCTCCTCATCTGTGTATGATCTGAGCCTGGCGCATTCTTCCTGTGGGTGGCGCCAGGCCCCTTCACACCTTGTGATGATGATGATGATGATGTATGTTCAGTCTGCGTTGCGACAATGATTGGTCTGATTATTTGTATTCCAGTCTTCCGCTGTGCTATCTTGCTCTATCTGAGAGTGGTCGGTTCTTGGTTCTGGTCAGCACCATATCGGTATGCCACACAGCCCACTTGCATACTATGAGAGGAGACAGAGTTTGTGTGTGTGTGTGTGTGTGTGTGTGTGTGTGTGAGAGAGAGAGAGAGAGAGAGAGAGAGAGAGAGAGAGAGACAGAGAGACAGAGAGAGAGATTAGTCAGCATTTTGTCGAGGGGTGGAGATGACGTTGGAGGTGTGAGTCAGGGGAGACATTGTGCGGACCTATTACAGAGTCTATAATACAGACTGAGTTTATATCCTCCTCCTCTTCCTCCTCCTTTCACTCTGTCTATGGATGATTGGCCAGGGAGGTGCTCGTCCATGCACATCTCTCTTCCTCCTAGCTTCCATGATGAGTGTGTGCTGACTTGCATCGTTTTGACCTCTCCATATGGAGGAGTTGTTTCAGTCTGTCTCTGCTCGTATAGTGCTTTTCTTTCACTTGCCCTCACTGGATACATCCTTGACTCAAGCAACCCCGACTTTTATCAGTGGGGCATCCGTCACCTGACCTCAACTCAAGTCGACATGTGTTGGTGACTGCCACCCCCTCGCCCCCCTTTTTTCCTTCCCTGCCTTGTGCAGGCATCCTCTTGTTTGACTAAAAATGACAAAACTGCCCGCCGATCGACCTGCACGAGAGAGAGAGAGAGAGAGAGAGAGAGAGAGAGAGAGAGAGAGAGAGAGAGAGAGAGAGAGAGAGAGAGAGAGGATGGGAGAGGAGGACAATAGGAAGCAGTCCAGGCCATTTGACCAAGGGATGCACCATACATACAGATGAACAGTATATATTACTATGAAGAGATAGAAGAAAATAGTGCCTGAAAGGGAAAACAGGAGAGGTCTGTCTTGCCTGAATCAGAAGACGGTTTGTGTTCAAGCTGAAAAGATGGAGCCAAATAAACAGCACCAGAAGGGAAAAACAACAGATTGATATCTGCCCAGAGCCCCACACGAAGCCAACCACAGACATTCTCATCTCACAGGATTTGCCACACAAGAAAGCAGCCAAACACACAAAGAGACGTTGACAAATAAATAAATTCATGTTAGCACAAACAGCTTGAGGTAACAAACATCATGTCAACAAAACAGTTTGCTAGTTGGGTTCATGTGAAACAATTCCTTTCAGGATCTGATACTCTTCAACCAACTTTGCAGCAGGCAAAATCATTTGTTTTAAAGCACCACTAACTTTCCCTCTGTTGGGAAAACGGGAAAATATCCTACTGAAATGAACCGCGTACTCATCAGGCTCAACTTGCATAAGCCATCGAACATTCACATGAGGGATCACACGTGAAAAGCTAAAACGAGATACAATCCACACTAAGAGATTTCGTCTCCAATATTATTACCAATATACAAGAATGTTTGTCACCAGCGGCCCTGCCGCACACACACACACAGCAAGTCTCACCCAAGTAGTGGCTATGGCTTCCCCCACTTCCCTCTTGCCTGTCTCTCTCTCTCTTGTCTCTTGTCTCTCTCTCTCTCTCTCTCTCTCTCTCTCTTTCTCTCTCTCTCTCTCTCTCTCTCTCTCTCTCTCTCTCTCTCTCTCTCTCTCTCTCTCTC